GTGTGTGTGTGTGTGTGTGTGTGTGTGTGTGGGGGGGGGGGGGGGAGGTAGAGACAGACAGACATAAGGAAGAGGTAGGCAGTCTGAGCCACCGCACATGGAAATAATTCATGACTGAGCGTACTAAATGCCACTGCTCAACAGATTATGGTGCTCATGGTGACATTCAAATATAAAAGTGCCACGAAGACCAATTGAGTGCTAATTACCAAACCCCATGTATGTCGTATGGTGACCAGTCTGAGAGGCTTGAAGAAAAGTCAACCAGGTTCCACTGTTATAATGTATGAAAGCAGCCTACTAAATTTAGCCTGCTCACCGACCATCATGAGTGATGGATTGGACGGGGAAAGGGGGGCTGTGCATGATTGGCTGCCCACGCGATCTGCTGTATAACCTCAGGGTTGCTGAAAACATTTGGAGCCTCTCACTCCATCATGACAATCAGACCTGGTTTGGCGCCCCCTTACACCAGGTGATGCTGCGTTTTGGGGGGGGGGGGGGGTATTACTATTAGGGGACATGGTGATTCTAAAGGATGGCGATGTATGAGCGACCACTGCTTTTACAAGGTCATGGTCGTATTTGGTTTCAGCAGAAGCAAATTGCATACACTCACCGTACACTCCTTGGCAACGGATGCCCTCCACGACCAGCGCCAGCAGCCCCAAAACACAGATAATTAGATCCATCCTCTCACGTTAATCTCTGCATATCCTCCTCTCAATGGCAAGAAGTCCTTTCCGGGGCGGTGTAACTGAGGCGCATAGACAACGGCGCCGCTGCGATTCCCACACGTCGATTAATTTAGTCTCGGTATTAGCTGCGAAGGTATGTACGGTCCGCAGGAGGCGAACACACTCAGGCTGTGATTGTTTTGATGTCCGCTGCCATGTAGTCGGGACGCGGAAGCGCTCGCGGCGCAGAGACGCCGCGGAGGCTGCGGGGAAAAGCGAGCAGGCGCGGGGGAGTGGGCTGCAGAAAGCCCGGCCTTAAAACAGACAACCGCGTCTCCAGGTGCGCTGTGTTTCCCCCGGACTTTAGCGGAGACCCCCGAGGCACCAAACCGAGGGGGCACACTGGTGCTGTCGACTACAGGCAGACGGAGGCTCGGTGCCCACGGACATAGCTCCTCAAAATCCAGCTGTGGTCAAGGCTCGCTCCGCGGATGCAGCTGCTGCGTTGACTGCGTGCTGTCAAACGAAGCCATCACCTCATGATTCACAAAAAAACACACACACACGCGCACATTGTCAAATTTTCAGTTCCCACCTTGTAAGGCGGCCGTCAGGCTTCCGATACCACAGTTGGAGGCTCGTGCGCTCACACAGTCACATCACGACTGCACCCCGACGCCGCGCGCTCTGCTTCATCTCTCCCGGTGGCAATGACAAGGGGAGGGTCCAGTACGGCGAGGAGCGGCGGATGGTTCCTCCACAGCGCCTCGGCGATGCCCGCTGTTGCCTCAGCGTTATGAGACCACTTTCTTAATGAATTCACGCGACAGGGGGGGGAGCCGGATGTGCCCGTCGCGAAGTCAGTTGAGCATCAGTCACGTTGCGCAATACGTGCTACGGAGACCGAGTGGCACCGCAGCCGGTCTGTGGCTACGTCAAGAGGTGCGTGGCTTCCAGCGCTCATCTGTATGGGAGGCTTCGCTCAGCGTCAGGAAAGGCATGAGAAGTGCAGCTGCTGGAAGCTGAGAGAGAGAGAGAGAGAGAGAGAGAGAGAGAGAGAGAGAGAGAGAGGAGACCATTGGAATTCAGGAGATCTAGCTTTGACAGACCTTTTGCAATCAACACCAAGCAGCCAGTCTATACTCCTGTCTGCTCATGTTTCACCAGGCCTCCTTTATCAGACAGGGAGGATGAGATGCTGTCTGCCATGTATCGTTCATCTGCTACAGAAGATCTATTTTGGCTTCAAACAGTGAGATGTCGGTTAGTCTATCCAAGCACACACTGCTGCTGCTGCCACAGGTCTCTAATGTTTTTGGTAACTTTAACAATACATAACTTTTAAAGTAAAAAAAAAAAGGTACCAAGTGGTTCCCGAATGGGGTCCCAGAAGGCCCTCGGGGGGTCCTGCTGGCAGTTCTGGGGGGGTGCACCTGCAAAACCTGTTTCATTATATAACATTTTGCCATATGGCCTATTCTGACTACAGGTTTCACCTCCCCATTGTCCTTCAGTACGAACTAATGGTCATATTGGACCATTTCATTATACTGTAAATGCTTCCACTTCTTCGTATTTCCTGTTGGAAACGTTCTGTAATAACAACACTGGTCAGATCTAAAATTTTGACTATAGCTGTTTCCTAGCAACACAATTTTGATTGAATGGTATTAATTAGTTAAATAGTTCCCCCAGTGTTAGACTTTTGGGACAAGGGATGAACGTCAAGAGCCACAGGTTGATTCTGATAAAAGAGTTTGATTCATCTCTAAATTCGGTTTCCCTGTGATGTTTAGAATTGTCTTTTAAGGCTTTCTAGCTTTTAAAAAGCATCAAAATGTATGAGTAACAATAAATACAGATTGGTATTTTACACCCAGCTGGGGATAAACTGTGGAAGTGACTGGTGGAGCACCAGTGTGTGGTTTGGCGCCCTCTACAGGACTCCATTAAATGAATCAATAATCATGCAGTCATTGGGGTTGTAAACCCAATTTCTCACCAGGCTGTCGTTCTGATCGCACACTCACCATTTAAAATATGAATAAATATGATATGATTATTTCATTGCCTCATGAGGCTTCCATCATTGTAATTCAGCTGAGCTGACAATATCTGATCCTGAAACGAGGAGTAAAATTAATTTAGTGGAGTTAATATTTGATATAGGCTACTCCAAATTTAATTTTTGGAATCTAAATGATTGATCTTTCCCATCCGTTCTATGTCATCGTCAGTGCAGTGCCCTCGAACGTCGGGGTGGTGAAGCAGTGTCGATAGCAAAACGTAATTTGAAAAAATGTTTCAGATCTTATTTTCTGCCAATAACTGGCTTTGTTTTTATCTCAAATGGTGTGTGGAGCAGAGAGCTCCATCACTTTTACCGTCGCTTTAATGCAGGATGTTTAACCATCTCTTGCTCTCTGTGAGCGTACGTATGTGCCTGTTTTCGAAAGTGTTAGAAAAGTGGTCCTTACAACAAGTCATTTAACATCCAGTGTCCACGGATAGAATTTTGACAAGTGTGTGTTTTGTCATCTGCTGATGTGGTGTGTGTAGTCGCTTATCCCCCACCTGCTTGCTGCTAATCATGTGTATTACTGTACGTTTGCATCACCCATCCAATATGGACTGGAACGGCAGACCACCGGGGAAGCTTAGACTTCTACCCTCCATCTGTCTGTTGTGGATAAATCTGCTCTGCCCCCCCCCCCCCCCCTCTCTAGCTCTCTCTTTTTCCATCGTCTGCTTCCTTGGAGGAATATAATGCAACCTTATTTCAAGCAAGATGTCTGATGCTGCTAAAGTACACTGACATTGGAGGAAATGCGATTATGAAGCCCATTGTGAGTACAGTGTCTCCGTGCAGCATCATGGGGGGGTTTATAAATATAAAAGGCTCTCACTACTATTGTAGTTCGAGCTGTATGACATTTGACTAAATGTATTCAGTCATACAGTGCATGAGGTGTTGGATACGGTATGAAACAAGACAATTTGGCATTTGAGGGAGCCTCTATGGGCTTCACATTCATCTTCAAACACAGCAGACCTATGATGTCATGGTGGGACACAAAGCCAGGGTCAGTCAGAAGAGTGTGTATCTGTGCTTGTGTGTATCTGCGAGTGTGTGAGAAAGAACATGAGAAGGTTATGGCTTTGGTACTCCTGACAATATTCTGCTCTGGTTGGCATCACACATGAGCAAATCTCAAATGGAACAACATGTATTTTTCCATCTCGCTGCCTTAAAAGTCATATAACAGCCAGTAGCCACCTGTAGAAACGGTTCCACTGACAACTGTAGCTCAAGGCTCGTCTAGCAATGCTCACTTTTTTTTTCGTCGGGTTGCTTTTGCTTCATTTAAATTGTCAGCGGCACCTTTCCAATGTGACATTCGAAGCGAATGATTACTTTAAATTTCTATCTGGTGAACAAGAGAGATGTCATTTGGCACACCCCGAGGAAATAGTGAAATAGTAAAGCCATGCATAGCCCTGAGCATTTGGATTCAAAGAGACTTTTAACGGTTCCAACAAACTGCAATTACCTTCACCTCTGAACAACCGGAAGCGCCATTAAGCATGCTCCAACATCTTGGGGACCAGCACCCGTGGGGGATATGGGATGCACATTTTTGTCTGTCACTCAAACATTGCCCATACCTGACTTCATGCATGGTAGCTACAGTGTTCACACTCACAGAAGGACACAACCAAGCGTCCCCTCGCGTGCCACTGCTGACAAATGTTTCCCCTAAAAAAAATAGGTCACATTCAAGCTGGCAGGACTATTTTAGAAGGGCCGAAATGTTTTCAGTTTTTCCGTGTCATAATTTGTTTTCGGCGCGGATAATGACTTGCATGTGGCTCCTCCGAGTCCGGCCGGAGGGAAGGAGGCGGCGGGTAAAAGTGCATTCGACGAGAACACGTGCGACTCTCTTCCAGGCTGCGGTATTAAAAAAAGATGCCAAAGTGCAAACCTCATTCCAATAAAAATCTTTTGGGCTTCATAAAGCACTGATGACTTAATGCATACTTGCTCTGTCGATTCTCTAAGAAGGAAACAAATAACTTTCTTTTATGTTAATGGAAATTAGACCCCATCTGTTCTTAATGCTCTTGCATGCTCTTCCACATGAAGAGAGCGGACGCCATTTAGATTTAGTGTTTCCTGTCGGGGAAAGCATCAGTGCACTCTAGACTAGTGTAAGATCTCATGCTGAGAGGCAGGCCTTAGCCCGACTATAAAGACAAAAGGCAGTTCTGACGGGCATGACGTGCGTTTCTATTCTACAAATGTTCCCTCAGACACCCCCGTTTTCCCCGGCTAGCAGCACTCCGACACACTCTGTATTCACGGCAGCGGGACGCCTGTCGGCAGTATTTACACACATAACTGGGGTGAAAAGAGGTGGATTTCACAATGAGGTGCAGCGGCTCATGGCAGCTGGTATCAACATGCAGTCAGAATCCAGAGGCCGCCGCTCTTTGTGATGCTCCCTGGTGAGATATCAGGGCTGGTCTCCGCAGAGGTTGAATCGTCAATGTATTCATTGAAGGGGTCTGAAGGTACCTGCACATTTGAAGCTTTGTAAAACATGCCACCAATGCGTGAAAAGTGTCACGCTCAAACTGCATCCTAAACACATTTACAAATACATTAAGAAAAAAGTTTCACTCTTTTAATTTGCTTTCCTCAAAAAGGGGATATTTCATGACACCTTTCAGACACAGCACAGTTAACTGCATGAACCTCACAATTAGATGGCCTTATACTTGGCATCATACACAGACAACTGAGAGCAGTATCACTGTAGAAGGTTAGAACGCAATACATCAAATAAATACAGTCTGGAGATGATCTGAGGATAACTTGTAGAGGATTTGTGACGTAACTTGCTGCACATTTTCTTTGCATTGAAATGTCAGCGAATCGCTCAAATGAAGAATCTGCTCAGGTCTTGATAATATGAGTTCATTATTATGAAAAGTTATTTTGGGAACACTATCTAAACCCTCCTATTTACCATATATTAAAAATAAATGTTTATGAAAGATTATTGTAGTTTTAAAGTGTTAATAATGTATTTATCAACAACTATAACTCCTGAGCATCTGTAACGGTGCATCACTGATAACAAAGCATAACATGCTGTAATCATATTTACATGAAACATGACTCACATGAACAAATCCTTAAAACATATTTATTAATTTATACATATGGAAAAAATGATTCAATGGTAAAACAGAATTTTTCCGAGCTGCATGTAATACATTACATACATATAAAGATGTATGTAATGTGGTGATTACAATGAATACATTGCATAAATGTAATATGTAAGTAGTGAAGTAGTGTGCTTACACCCAGAACAACGTTACACACAGACACACTGCATTTGATATTTTTTTTGTAATGAGAAAACTTCCTTGAAAGAGAAAAACATTCTCATGATAATGAGAAACTGAGATGATTTGTTTTCCTCATGGCGGTCTGTAACACAATGCTGTGTATTCCCAGTGCTGTGCAAATCACAAATAGTATGATCCAAGCAAGTGCAATCAGTTTCCCCGATTTAAACCCCTTCAGCTGCATAGAAAATGTGACTCCCGGTTTAGTATGCGGCGCTACTTGGCTCAGTGTCTGAGATTGTAATTATCTCTCTGTAAAGAAGGTAAAGTGAGGCCCATGTTAGCCTTCGTGTTCTCGGCTGCACCGGGGCGGGAAAATAAATCGTCAGAAGTAAAATCATTACACTGCACTCGACAGACAGTAAATTACATTACCAACTCCACTTGAAATTGCAGGTACAGAGTGACGGGGAGGAACCCCTCGTTGAAGAGAAAACTTTTGTTTTGTATCTCGGGAGGCCTCGGATCAGTGCTTAACTGCACACTAGTCCTACCTCCACCGAGAGGCCATTATTCGTAATCCCTGTTTGTACCCGAGTGTACAAACAGATGCTGATATTTGCGTGA